TCGGGTTCTTAGCTTCCCGTAGACATGGTCCCTTGGCTTCTACCTCTATGGGTCAGGAAGCCTGCCTGTTGCTCTGTCTTGATGCTGCTCATCGTCTTGATGCTGCTCATCGTCTTGATGCTGCTCCTCTGTTCTATCTAATAGTCTCCTTGCCTTAGCCTCCATTCTCTGGCTCCTTTGCTCTGTTCTGCGATCTCTGCCCCTGGAGCCTCTGGTCTTGGCCTCTGCTAATTCACACCGAGACCTCTAACATGCTTCACTGGCAACTCTCCTTCCTTTCTGGTCCTGGGATTTCTATTTGTTTGCTTCCAAGATGGCTGTTATACAGAGAGGAATGACTGATGAAAAGTGTAGCTTTGGTCTTTCAGCAGACAATATTACCAGGAAAACAAAGACTGATGGCATGGTTCCCCACCCTCTAGTAAATGTGAAGACTTAGAATATATCCCACCTTGGTGCAGTGGTTACTCGTTGGGCAGCTGACTGCAACATCAATAGTTTGAAACTACCAGCTGCTCTGAGGGAGAAATCTGGGGCTTTCTCCTCCCACAAAGAGTTAGTCTTGGAAACTCACAGGGGAAGTTCTACCCTGTCCTGTAGGGTTTCTATAAGTCAGGTTGACTCAATGGCAGTGAGTTTTGAGTTGGGTAATCTTATCTATTAGCATAGTAGAAAACTCCCTCCAGAATGGGACTGTAAGGCATAGAGGCTAGAATTTATAATACATCACTTAAGGGATGATGGCAAGAAGGACCATATTAATTGTCTGCATCTCAGGAGGAGAAATACAGGAGTCACATCAGAGCAATCAGCTTTAAGGACTATTGAGTTGATAGGCTGGACTTTTAAAAAATAGGCATTGCATGGTCATAAGCAAATTACCTGATTTTTAATGCTAACATTATTAGCTAATATGAAAATAACTAACGTAGATAGAATGTGGTATAAATATGCTTTTGAGCTAGACTTGGCAATTTTGTGGGTTTTCCTAAGGCTTTTCTACCATGTCTCTCTTGCTACATTCTTGCTATCATTCTTTCCTCCCTAGAATTTCTCTTATTGTTAGTGCTTCTTTAGTTTTTTTCAACCTTAAGTCTAATTTTTAACAGGAATTCTTTTTTTTATTAATCATTTTATTAGGGGCTTATACAACTCTTATCACAATCCATACACACATCAATTGTGTAAAGCGCATTTGTACATTCATTGCCCTCATCATTCTCAAAA